AAAAAAGAAAACATCATCAGGAAGAATGACTGAGTATATTACAGTATTATCCTGATTTAGTAAGTACTAATTCGACTTGATTCAGTTTACAATGCCAATTCGACTACTAGTTTTTTTTAGCTGCATTCTTAAGATAATTCAATCGACTTGATTTCAACAGTTCAATCACTTATGATAAGAGGTTTCATTTGTTTTGATAATTCAGTCGGATTCGATTTCAACATCTCAGTCGGTTCGATTAACTGAACCGGTGGGGTGCACATCTCGAATCATGGTGTTGTGTCCACCACACAAGCCTTATAATTTACTTCATTCACATTGCAAGAGAACATCAACAAAACCACACATGGATAAGAGAAGTAAACCACAAAACGAAAGAAAACCAGACAAAATAAACATCTTAAAAAAAACAAAAAAACATCCAAATAAGCACACAAACAAAAACACATTAAAATAATCAAGAGCTAACAACATAACCAGCCTCCGAACCCCTCGACAGCCGATGTAGCAGCACGCTCGTCGGCAACGAGCCCGTCGTGGGCGACCTCAGCACCTCGGCCAGCGGGCCTCCCATGGGGCCCACACGGTTACCTTCCCACGCCATACCCCAATTCATTTGGGTCCGGCCCCCTTCGCCTTGACCTCCCACGATGCGGGCCCCATGCTCATCCCCATCCCCAGTTCCAAGCTTCAAGGAGAAGTCAGATGGCGCATTCCCGGGCATCGAGATCGACAGATTGGTGGCTGAGGCCGCTGAGCTGGCAGTGCTGTCCGTCTCGTGAAGTGATCTTGGCCAATCGTCGAAAAAGGGCCTAAGCGTTCGTCCGCCATCGTTTTGGACTTCGTAAGGGCACTCGGTCTCAACTATGGAGTCCAAAGGCCTGCAAAAGCATCAGCTACATGAAGGAGGAAAAAAAAAAAAAAGTTGGCACAAAACAAGTGGTTGGGGCTCATTCTAAGCAGTAATCACACAATCAAACAAAAGAGATAATTGGTGGAGCCTACACACACACACACTCCATTGAAAGAGGCCACATAGAGAAGTTATTATTATATCTTTGAAAGGACAACTCAATTTGAGCAAAAGATAATGCTGTTCGAAAATATGAGACCAATTTAATCTTTGAATCACTGTGTATTATACCAAGCTGGGCCCTTTCTTGCTTTAGGGAAACAAGAATTTAGCTTAACATCTTAATCTTCAATACCCTTTACCAGCCACAACCCCACCAAGAGAACCCATCGAAATAAATAGCCATTGATAAAAAAATGATGAGCAAGTACACTAATGATTGAATTTTGTAGCTACAGTCCCGTTACGGAACTATTCCGTCGAGATTTATAACTGTTAGATCATCATGTAATCGTCGTGGATAGTTGATGCAACGGTTACAAATGTAACCCCCCACGGGATTACGTAACGGGACCGGAACCATTTTGTAATCGGAGCAAGACATTTTCCATTTTTGCACTCACAATAAGTAACAAAGAACACAAACTAAATCAGGAAAAAGAAAACAAAAAAAAAAAAACAAACTAGACAGAATAAACGACCTACCTCGGATCAAGGTGGAGAAGATTAGACGACGTCCCCGAAAGACCGAACTGGGTGGCGGGCTGGTTCATCTTCAGGGCATCGCCGCCGCCGCCGGCGGCCGGAGCAGCTGGGGTTTCCACAGGCTTTCTTGAACGGTATTTGCCGCGGTGAACATGACGGTCACAATATCTGTGGCCGGGGACGACATCCCTCGAGCACCGCCACTTCTTGCCGTCCGTACGCCGGCACCGACCCGGCTCCGGGTCCATCGCCGCCTTACTCCAGTATCCCGACTGCACCACTGTCTCAGCCACAAAACCCCCCAATTATTAAAACATTATAAATCTTCAATCAAATGAATGAAGGAAAAAAAATTAACACACTGGACCACATAAAGATCGAATCTTTTTACCAAAACAGCTATCTAAAACAGATATAACAGGGAAAAAGAGGGCGGCCATGAAACATACGAGGTGGCTGGTAATGAGGGTAGTACTGATAAATGGGGTTACAAACGTAATACGGCGAAGTTGCGAGGCTTTTCTTGACAAGATGAAGTAGCTCCGGCGGAACATCGGCTCCGGCTATCATGTGCCGGAAAATCAAAGCTTGCAGCTCAAGCTCCTGCCACTGGGCCGAGCTGAAATAGCTCCCTGTCCCTGAGAAAGCCCATATTGTTAACACATCAAGAAAAA